TGTCTTTTGCTTCATCGTGGTCTGTTTGTGTTCTCTTTTATCTCTTTGAGTTTCTCTAAAATCAATATTTTGAGTTATTTGTCAGACAATATATTGATAGCCTCTTTGAGTTTTGCTGCACAATAGTTATTTCTCAGGAGGTAGGACGTTCCCTGGCTTTCTTATGCTTCTTCTTTTACCTTGGTGATGTTTGTGTGTCTGGCAGGGAAGTTATAGGATAGCTTTTTTTAGTAGAATATTTTCTCCTGGCAGTGTATGTTCTAGTTTCTTTTCAACTGTTATGACAAAACACTCTGACCAATACTAACTTGGGGAGGAAAGGGTTTATTTGGCTTACATCTCCCAGATCACACTTCATCACTGAAGGAATCCATAATAGGAACTCAGGGCAGAAACCTGGAGGCAGGCGCTGGAGCACAGGCCACGAAGATCGCTGCTTACTGGCTTGCTCCCCAAGCCTGTGCTCAGCCTGCTTTCTTATACAATACAGGACAACCTGCCCAAGGGTGGCAATGCCCACAGTGGGCTGGGCCCTCCCACATCAGTCAACAATCAAGAATACGTCTCACAGACATGGCCACAGGTCAGTCTAATGGAGGCAGTTCTCCAGTTGAGCCTCCCTCAACCAGGTGTGTCAAGTTGGGAACTAAAGCTGTCCAACACAGTGTGCCGTAGTATGTTGTTTGCATAATGTGTGTTCACATTTGCTCTAGGTGGGCACTTAGCTACAAGCAGTATCGTGATGCTTACATTGTCCCGTGAGCCTCAGTGGTATGGTTATGCAGCACGTGTTTCAGTAGCTGACATAGCGTTCTTAGTTACAGTAGCACTTTTGGAATCCAGTCTCTGAATGTGGGTATGGGGCACTGGACAATTTCTGTTGCACATATTGAGGACAAGGTCAGTCAGGTGGTCTTGTGCAGGTGAGGTGCAAGCAGTACTATGGAAGACAGAGTGCTCTTTGGTTCTGAGGGTCTTGTAATGTGGGCTGGCTACAGCAAGCCTTTAAGTATGAATCCGGTCTGCAGGGATAGAGGTGTAGGCATACTAGTCTGAGCATTTCTAGAAGCCAGACTGCAGCAGTGAGCCTTGATGCTCCGCCACACAGTTCAAGCGATACACGGACACACAAAAGGGTCAAATTTTCTTTGGCTGTCATCAGTCTGCTAAACTCTTCAATAATATGATCTTTGAGATGATGTACAACACTTGAAATTGACAACTTCCTATCTGATTAATCTCTTGGCATATTTAGCTCTATAAGCAAACTGTAGGGAAACACATTCTTTTATATTAAAAGTATCATAAAATTGCAGAGAAATGTTAACCTGAGTCCAAAAATTATGCCTTATGGAAAGAGAAAATAGACGAGTTTCCTTCAAAGATCAGGCATGTGATCTTACATCTACAATTAGCTTAATAAAAATAGCTAAATGTCAGTGCTCCTGAGTGTTCTCAGGACTTGGATCCAGAAGTATTAGAAATACATTTCCTTCATTTTGTTCCCAAACCAAAGTGGGTAGTGTCTGGAAGTTAATATGTTGAAAGAATAAGATACCTAGAACTGGGTATAGTGTCACACATCTTTAATTCCCACACTCAGGAGGCAGAAGTAGGTGGATCTCTGTGAGATCAATGTTAACCTGGTCTACATGGTAAGTTCCAGGACAGCCAGGGGTACATAGTGAGATCTGTCTCAAAAAAGACCAAAAAACAAACAAAAAAGCAAACAAAAAACCTACTGTCTTCTAATTGCTTTTGATTTATCCTATCATATATAGAAAAATGATTAAGGTAGAAGCTGTGCCTAAAAGGGAGAGTGTTAATCATTTTTCAGAGAAGCTGAGGTCTTCTGGCATGTGGAAGCAGAAATAATCAAAGGAGAACATGGAAGTGCAGTCTGTTTGATAAAAAGAAAAGTTGCATGATTTGATATTAAGGACAAGTGATATTTCAGCAAGAAAATGATCAGTGGTTTTAAGGGAAAGATACTAAGATTAGATCTATTGACTTTTAAAACATGGAATATCAAATTTATTCATCATATTTATGTAAATAGTTTAAATTGAATGCTAGAACAAGAAATCAAAGGGTGGAACTAAAGGATCAAACTAGAGAAAAATGATTTGGCACTTAAGGAACACGGGTTAGAGAATCCTCCTTCCCTCCCTACTTCCTTCCTTCCCTCCCTCCTTCGTTCCCTCTCTCCCTCCTTCCCTCCTTCTCACCTTCCCCCCTTCTTTCCTTCCCTCCTTCTCTCCTTTCCTCCCTCCCTCTCTCCTTCCCTCCTTCTCTTCTTCCCTCCCTTCCCTCCTCTCCTTCCTTCCCTCCCTTCCTCCCTTCTTCCTTCCCTCCCTCCCTCCCTTCCCTCCCTCCCTCCTTCCCTCCTTTTCTCCTTCCCTCCATCCCTCCTTCCCTCCCTCCTTCCCTCCTTCTCTCCTTCCCTCCCTCCCTCCTTTCCTCCTTCCCTCCCTCCATCCTTCCCTCCCTCCCTCCTTCCCTCCTCTCCTTCCCTCCTTCTCTCCTTCCCTCCCTCCCTCACTCCTTCCCTCCTTCCTTCTCTCCCTTCCCTTCTTCTTTCCTTCCCTCCCTCCCTCCTTCCTTCCCTCTCTCCTTCCCTCCTTCTCTCCTTCCCTCCCTTCCCTCCTCTCCTTCCTTCCCTCCCTCCTTCCCTCCTTCCTTCCCTCCCTCCCTCCCTCCTTCCTTCCCTCCCTCCCTCTCCCTCCTTCCTTCCCTCCCTCCCTCCTTCCCTCCTCTCCTTCCCTCCCTCCTTCCTTCCCTCCTTCTCTCCTTCCTTCCCTCCCTCCTTTCCTCCTTCCTTCCTTCCTCCCTCCCTCACTCCCTCCCTTTGATTTCCTGTTTAGAACACTCATTCAGAAAATTACTCTCTTGCAAAACTGAATCTAGTATACTGATTAATAATATATTAGACACTGTACAGAGAAAATAATATTTAAAAATATTAGTCATCAAGCATTTACTGAAAAGCATCTCCTATAAAAGCTCTGAACAATGGAATGATGTGAGCCCAGCAGGCCACTCTGCTGCATGGCGCTGATGACAGAAAACATGTCTCCTTCACCTCAGCATTCAGAGCGGCCTTGGAATTTTCAATCTCTTTATTAGAACTATGGTGTAATTGCAAATGGAAGTGCAAATTACATTTTAAATCATAGGTAGAAGCACACACATACTTGTGTAACTGAACATACATGTACCAAAATTTTTACTTTGTCCAGGGATACTAAAAAAAAGAGGATTCTGTGAGCCTTTGGGAACATTACAAGATTAAATTGTTTTCCGAGCGGTAGTCAAGCTCCCTGGCTTTTACAATCTCGTTTTCTAGTGTGAACACAATGAAGGTTTTGTTTTGTTTCCAGAAGTAACACGTTGACAATAACGTCATTGCTACCCTCATGGGAGAGGGGAGAAATTACACGTTAGTTTTCACCGAATTTCTATAATATTACATATAAGGTATAACTATGGACATGTTCAAATATTTAACTAAGTGAACATTTACTTTACACATGTGAATAATTTATCATGTTATGTCTCATTCAACAACAGATTTTCAAATAAGCTCACGCTGCTGTCTGTTAACCTAATTTTGAAACTTGTTTAGATTTCCGAGAAAGAAAAATGAAATATTTTAAGTGCAAATTGAAGCTCTTTAGGAATTCCTCTTTCAAATTATGAGAGGAGAAAGCCTAAGGATCTCTCTGCTCCTAGAAAACCACAACTTAGCTATTAACGTGGATAAAGGGACCCAACCGAGCTGACAGCCTACCTTGCCAGTGTTGTAGAGTTGTTCAGATGGTCCTGGCCTAAGGAGCATGAACAGCGCAAGAGTGAGGGTATTGTTGATTCTTCCTTGGTGGGTTTCAAGAGCTGCTAAGGTCAGGCAGCATATGGCAAGGGAATCCCTGTGAGTAGAAGGCCGTGGGAGGCCAAGGGGCCCTGAGAGGCCATTGTGTGAGGTTGTGCAAGTCAAACCTGATTTGCAGAAGAAACCCCAAGATGTTGGAGATGCCAGATCTGTGTGATTTCTGCCATGAAATACTGTATAAAAGGAGTAGAACCATCCCAAGAGAGAGATGAGTGTTGCAAGCAGTAAAGCTTGGGTGGTGTCTTTCCCTGAGGACACCGTGACAGAGGAAAGGAAGAGGCTTCCTTTCGTATCTCCTTATCAAAGTGAGCCTCTCTTCCAGAACAGGCCTTGGCTGCAGTATTAAGCTTCCTAGTGTTCGTTTTCTCTACAAACTGTGCATTTTGTATTTCTTTATGCCCCATTTGTTTTTTCCATTGTAGAGAAGCCTAATACCACTAATAACAACACCACAGACATATTAGAGTGACTTGAAATTTCTTCTACCAAAGAAATTAGTCTATTACATTTTAAGTTAGCCTCGGGTAAATTCTTTAGGCATATGGCAGCCAGATTCTTTGCCAAAATATCTCAGTTGCTGTTTAAATCCCTGCTTCATTCCATCTTTCTTTGGAATATCTTGAGCAGGGCCTTTACTAGAACAGCCCATTAAATTCTGGTTACAGCATTCAGCTGCTTGCTAATCCAAACTTCCAATGTCTTCCACATTCCTCTCAAAACGAAGATCAGCTTATTCTCAGCAAGAGCAAATGCTCTCATACTAATTTCTATATTAGTTACTGCCCTCTTGCTGTGATACAACACCATGACTGGGGCTAGAGAGATGGTTCAGCAGTTGAGAACACTGATTGTTCTTGCAGAAGACCCAGGTTCAAATCCCATCACTCACATGCTCCCCAGTTCCAGGGGATCCAACAGCTTCTTCTGTCCTCTGTGGGCATTGCATGATACAGGTGCACTTACCTACACACAGGCAATACATGCATACACATAAAATAAAAATAATAAATTTTAAATATTAAAAAATTTAAAAAACCACCATGACCAGGCCAGCTAATGAATGGAAGAGTTTATTGGACTTAGGGTTCCAGAAGGATAAGTGTCAGTCATGATGGGAGACATTGCAGGAGGCAGAGAAGAAAGGTGAGAGTTCACATTTTCTAGCAGAGACAGGAAACAGAGAGACAGACTAGAAATCAGACAAGGTTATGAGCTCTCAAAGTCTGCCTCCAGTGACATACTTCCTCCATCAAGGCCATACTTCCGAGTATTAGCATATATTTGAGTCATATTGCATGGTAAAAGAAGTTTGATACTACAGTGCAAGCTTACTTTTTGTCAGTGCTCAATAAAGCCCCTGTTATAACAGGAGATAATATGTTGGAGACTGACAGCTTAGATCCCATGTGGAGGGCTTTAAGAGATTATGCTGTCTTATTCAAGATTAAGGCAATACAAATAGACCAAATACAGTAAAAGATCAATTATTACAGTGAGTAGCCACACACACACACACACACACACACACACACACACAGGGGGGGGGGAGAAAGAGAGAAAGAGAGACAGAGAGAGAATTTTCAGAATTTTGTACAATAAAATGTTAATTTGTTAAATAATGAAAATTATCTCCTATTTTGAAATCCCTGAAGTCACTGAATACTCAGGGGTAACAGTTTCCCTCAGATTTTTCAATTAAATATAAATTTAATACCAGAAGACAGGGAATTACAAATTCAAAAATGGCTTCAAGGTGATTTCTAGAACAGTAAGTATTTACATATGCTAATTCATCTAACATATACAGAAGCTATTTCAAATAACTGTCAGCATTCTAAAAGGTTTCTAAGGCATTGATGGTGCTTAGAAATATTTAAACTTAATATCCTAATTTCATTTAGTTAGTAATGATGTGTGGTAAATAAATATTTAATTCAGGGTAATTCATATTTATTGTTTACAGAAACATAAATACTTTTTATCCCTCTCATCTTCCATTCTTTCTCTGCTGAGAAATAGAAAGTTGTTGATCTCCAGCTGGCTTATTGTTTTTCCGTAGTTACCCAGCTACAGTTCCTACAAAGCCCAGGCTTCCGGGTAGTGCCAACCTGCTGAGTTCCTTCAGTGGTCATGCCTTCTCCACAGGATGATGGAGCATAGAAGGAGGAGCCGGAGCTGTGTTTGGACCCCATTGTCTTTCAGATTGATATTTTTGTGTTCATTGAAAATCTATTAATGACCACCTTTTTGTTTCTGATATTGTTTTTGGTTTTTTTGGACATAGGGTCTTGCTGTAGCACCAACTGACCTGGAACTGGATATGTAGACCAGGATCTCTCACAGAGATCCGCCTGCCTCAGCCTCCTGAGTGTTGGGCCTAAAGGTGTGCACCAGCTCGCCTGGCAATACTGACCATCTTCTGACTCATGAGTAAACAATGTTTAAGGATTCAGAACGTGCAGAGCAGTTCATTAAGATTCAGTTCTGAACAGGGGACCACCCAGGCTGCGGAGGCGCTAGGCTTTCCCTGTCTCCAGTGATGAACTTGTCCAATTCCAACTTCACCTTCTCTTGATACAAAAATGCCTGACACACCATCTCGGAGTTGGACAGACACCTATAGTTGCTATTCAAATGTTTCTTTTATTCAGTTATGCCGCTAACCATATCTCCTCAGCCTCCAATCTCACTGTGGCCAACAATGGTCTGACATTCATACAGCATGAAGATCTCAAGGAAGACTATGAATCATTGAGAAACAGCAACAACATAAACAAGATGGCAGTTTCCATTGCTGATCACAATTGGCCTTCCCTCCAGATGTCTCCTGAGCATGTTCATCTTGCACATTCTTGGGCACGTCACTTCCTTTCCATGTGAGAAGATGCCATTATTTCAGTTTTATAGGTGGGCATTCCTTCCAGAAGTGGATTCTAAGAAAGCTCTAGCATCCTATCAGATCTACAGGAGAATCACCAAGAATGTAAAATCCACACAGGATTCTAGAACTTATAAGACTAAAATTCAGGGAAACTGGCAGCTCTGGTGAGACCACCCAGGAACCATGAATTTCCTCTCTGGCACCAACATTCCCTTTTGAGCAGTAGACAGTAGATTCTGCTCTTCAAGATTCTAAACTGTGCTCTCCAAATCTAAGTTCCACTGCCTGCAGATGCCCCAGGAGCTCTAGTCTTGTCACGGAGAGCCCAGGGGTCCTGAGGCAACCAGAAGAAGATGCACTGCTGTTGTTACGATTAAAATGAAGCGGATGTGGGATGTGCCTTTACCAAAACTGAAACTGCCATGGTAGTGTATTTACCAATACCAGTAAAATGTCTTAGTCCATTTCTTTCTTGCTGTAGCGGGATACCCCAGGCTGAGTAATCACAATAAACAAACTTACATGTGTCACAGTTCTGGAGCTGAGAAGTCTCAGAACGTGATTGCTGCATTTGCTGGAGGCTGTCATACTGTGTCACAAAGCCTCCTAGGGACAAGCGAGGAGGATCGAGACAGGATCAAAGAGGCCCAGTAACGCCTCCCAGGATGCCCTGCTACTTAAGCCTTTCTCCTGCATAACTGCCTCCATCCTCTTACACAGGGCAACACTCTCATGACACAATTATCTCTTAAATTCCCACCTCTAAACATAGTTAAAATGGCAATTAAATTGCATCATGAGTTTGTAAGGGTCATAAAACACAGCATATGAAAACATGGCCAGGGTCTCAGCTCCTGTTCTAACTTAAGCATCGTATTTGACTCTTTCACTGATTGTGTTTAAGTGGTTAAATTTCTCATTTCATCCACTCTCCACTTCTATGGAGGATTTGGGATTTCCTAGAGGAAAGGGATTAAAATATTGGTGTGACTGGGCATTCACTGATGGAATAGTTTAAAATATGCTCTATAACAATCTAAATTTATATTAACTTTAATATAAAACATGAGCATTATATTTTCCATATTAAACATTTATGCTAAAATTCATGGATTCTATATACACTATTTTAAATATTTACTTCCTTTAGTGTCAATATATGGATACATCTTAAAGGTATATCAACAGAGAAATGATTTAAAATGTTTGTCAGGAGTCAGAGATGTCAGTATGAACTCTATTTAACCTGATGGGTATTCAGATGATTAGACAGAAACAAATGGGCGTGTGTGTGCATAGGTTAATAAACACACATGAACTGCCTCCTCCACCCTTAGAAATGTTATGGGAAAATCAGAGAACAGCAGCCAAAATCGGGTGAGGAGAGGGATTTAATTTTACACTAGCAGACTGACCCACGGATCCTTCCAGAAAGGAGCCAGTACCCTATTCCAGTTTTAGGGGTTTTCATATTCATATGAGGAAGTACGAGTAAAAGACAAAGCAGCACATAGGTGGTAATTAAGTAAAAGGTACACGTGATAATTAAGCAAGGTAATGTATGGCGGCAGGGGTTACAAAGACTTCCTTCCAGGTCCACCATAGGAGCAGGATGGAGGAAGAGTCCAGCTTATCTCCCCATCTTTAGTCTAGGAGCTCTTCCTGCTCCAAAGTTCTTAATTATCATCACATTACAAAAGTTTTCTGCCTCCATAATAGAAGCATGAGGCCCTAAAAGTAATGACCGTCCCAGGACAGAGACGTGGCGTAACTACCATGTTTAGTTTCTAATTATGTTTATCCAAGAAAGGTGCAATAGGACTGGAGAGATGGCTCAGTGACTAAGAGCACTGGCTACTCCACAGAGGACCAGAGCTTGGTTCCCAGCACTCACATGGTAGCTAACAACTGTCCTTAACTACAGCCCAAGGAAATTGGACAACCTCTTCTGGCCTCCTTAGGCATTGTATGCACAGGTATACTTATACACATGCAGGCAAACCGCTCATACACATAAAAGAAACAAATGTATTAACTTGTAAAAAAAATGGACAGTAATTTGGGGGAAATCACTGATTCTGGCCTGAGGAAGAGGATGTGTCCTGTTCAGAGAAAGCAAAGAAGACATTTTTTTGAAAAGTAAGTAAAAGAACACAATAACCAACCTGAAGGAGCTGCCCACTGACAGCAGTAAAGAGAGAATAGTAAATAACAACACTGCATGTAATCCCAAATGTAAAAATATATCCATGCCTCTAGGCAAGAAACAATAGTTCTCTCTTCATAATAAGAGTATTGAAGACTCAGAATAGCATTTCCCCGCCCCCTGTGTTCCTCATTGGTTGCTTTCTTCAGGGATGTACAGTATCTCCAGTGTCTAATATTGCTCCCTCTTCAAATCCCTACCCTATTGGTTCAGAATGCAAGCCATATACCAGGTAGATCCTGGGGTTTGAGATTCCCTCATCATTTTCTGACATTTGGGCACAGTCACAAAAGGAACTGTCTGTAACTTTTCAACCAGAGGATGGACTGAGAGCTCCTGGATAAGAAGGCACCCTCTCTTCTTTGACTTCTATTGGTTTTATTTTAGGGTTTACTTTAAGTTTTTAAGTTCTCTAGCATTTTTTTGATTCTTTTCGTCACAGGACAGATGGTCTGATCTAGGATCTAAAAGCATTAGATTACGTTGATGTGTTATGGGCATTTCTTTCTTGATTATTATTTCAGTGAGGTTTTAAGTTAACCCCCTTACATAAGGAATAACGCAACGTTGCACTGTAGTTAGTAGTCCTGCTATAGACACAGTCCTAACAGGGAAGTGAGGACTGAAGCCATTGACTGTTTTTAGTTTCTAAATCAAGCAATATATAAATGGATATATAAAACAAGCAGTATATACACCCAAACAGTATATAAATGGGTCATCATTTTCTCAATATATAAATGGATATATAAAACAAGCAGTATATACACCCAAACAGTATATAAATGGGTCATCATTTTCTCAACTTTCTGTTAATTCATTGTCAAGTGTAGTTAATCCTTGAAGGATCTTAGAAATTGTTATATAAATGGATATATAAAACAAGCAGTATATACACCCAAACAGTATATAAATGGGTCATCATTTTCTCAATATATAAATGGATATATAAAACAAGCAGTATATACACCCAAACAGTATATAAATGGGTCATCATTTTCTCAACTTTCTGTTAATTCATTGTCAAGTGTAGTTAATCCTTGAAGGATCTTAGAAATTGTCCTACAAGGAACCATATTATTGGGAATAAGAGTCCTCCCAATTGTGCTGGAGTTTGTTTTCTCTCTAGGATTTTATCAGCACCAGTTTGGCTGATGAACTGCAAACTCCAAAGGTGAGGGTTGACCAAAAAGTCCTGAAACAGGGAGAAGAGGGTCCCCTAGAGGGTTCATAAAAGAATTGAAGAACAGACCCAAATGGAGGCTTTTACAATTTTATTAGAATCTTAAAGAAAATCCTCAGAGTAGGCGAGCTGGTCATCTTGGCAGCTGCCCTGAGGAGGTGAATAGTGGGAAGAAGGAAAGAAAGTCAGGGAAGCCAGGCAGGTTTAGAGCCTGCATTGGGGTCAGACACTTGGCTGACTTGTAGCCACGTGGCTGGGAGAAGGAAGCTTTAGAGAAAAAGTGAAGAAATACAAGATGCTAGGGCAGCCCGAAGCCTTACAGAAAGCACGTTTGGTAAGAAAGGCATGAAGAAGAAAAGGAGAAATTACACTTTCCTGAAGAGTTCAGGAAAGTGGACAGACTTACGGAGACCTATGTGGCTTTCCTGGTCTGGAAGTTCTGCGGGGACCTGAGCTAATTCTAGGCAGAAATATTCTCTACTTAATTAACACACCAGGTATTCCGCCAATTAACTTGGCACAACCTGCCTTCCTGGGAATAGTTCTATCACCAGGTAATTGACCAGTGAGACTGGAAAAATGGGTCCTCCAACAGATAAACAAGGCATTTTCATACTCTGGACCAGTTAATTTATGGGGCTTATTGATACTCTATCAGTCCCTTATACCTGAGGGGAACAAGATGGAGAAGGTTGCCAGGATACAGTTTCCCAGCAATTGATTTTCGGTTTCCACAGTGGAAATCGAAGATCAATTGGTCCCTGGACCCACGAAGGAGGGTCCTGACCCACTAAGTGGAGGTCCCTGGACCCACTAAGGTATAAGGGCCCTGAACACATTTCATATGGAGACAAGCCCACTTTCCTTTTGGAGCATTTCTAATCCTAAGCAAAGCCATAGTTGATGGTAATCCAGTATAAAACGTAAGTTTAGTTACATTCTTCTTAGGAGTTTAATTCATTCTTTCTATTTTCCCAGATGAGGGGGTGGTATAAGATATGGCAGTCTCAATTAAATTTCAAATTTTTGTAATTCCCTGCAACACTGTGGAGGTCAAGTGGCCGCTAATGTCTAAGTCAATTTTCTATAAGGCCAAATCATTGCATGACTTACTTTAAGATAATCTTAATTACAATATCAGCAGTTTCATCTGGAAGGGGAAGCTTGAACCACTTGGAGAGGTGGTGGGGCATCTTAAGTGTGAAAGCAAAGTTCCCCAAAAGAACTCCTGCACCTTGGATTGAACTTCCTGCAAGGTCACCAACTGATTATCACTTTGGAGATTGTGGAGAGTTTGGAATGTTGCAGGTCCAGAGCCCAATTACCACTTATCTTGGACCAGCTTTAGCTCCCTAAACAGCCACTCCTTGCCCACCTCTGTTTCTGATCTAACATCTTGTAATTAACAGATAAAAAACATTTTAGAATGTATTATCCTAGCAGACCACTGGATCTCACCTACCAAAAGGCTAAGAATGTCAGCAGATAGCATCTGAGACCTATAGTAAAAATCCCCTTGCTTTGCTGTGACCCGCCTACTGAATGTATCCTCCAATGCATTTGAAAAGTGTCTTGATTTATGTCTTTTCTTTGTTCTTTTACTATAAAAATATAAGGCAACTGTTACCACCCTTAAACACGGAATTTGGGGTAACCTGAATCTGTGTTCCTGGGCCATGGTCACTCGTATTTGGCTCCAGAATAAACTATCTCTTACCCCCTTTGAGGTGAGAGTTATGCTTCTTCATAGACAGTTATGGCACCCAACAATGTGGGGCCCCAAGAATTACCTCCTTTTCATCAGAGGAGTCACCTGGATGGAGCAGGTACCAGCACTGATCCATTGAGTCCAGGGATCTGATGGTGTCTCCTTGGATGGATCATGATGAGTTCTTTCTGGGGCTCTTGGACCTCCCTTGGTTTGGTCGAAGGTCCATTTGTTTATTCTGAGCTGGTTGTTTAGGATCCTATTTATTGGATACCTGTATTGTTTTTGGTTTGCTTTTGAAGTGTTTGCTTTAGGTATCCTTTTGTTTGTTTGCTTTGGAAGCATTTTGCTTCTGACATTCGGTGTTTTTTGTTGTTGTTGTTTGATTCTGAACTTTTGTTAAAATTTGATAGCAGTAGTTTTTTTCCTTCTTTCTCTTTCCTTTTTTTTTTTTTTTTTTTTTCTCGGAACACTTCTCCCTGATCTAATCTAAGGGATGGAGAAATGTTTTGAGGAAAACAGATATTTTGTATTCCAGCTGGTTTTAGGGTTGATTAGTATGTTCCTTTAACTTACAAATGTAAGGAAATGTAAAAATCCAACCTAAGGTAGTCTTTCAACTTTAAGGTTCCTATTTGTTTAGATATTTGTTTGCTTTTGTGTTTTCAAAGTGTTTCCTTTAGAAGCAATTTGTTCCTGACTGCTTGGCTTCTTTTAATGTTGGTGGCTTCTAGAACTTTGAAGGTATTTTAGTATTTGTTAGTGGTATGTCCTGGTTTTGTTTGTTTTTGATATGTTTTGATTTTAGTTGGTCTTTGTCTCCAGACACTCCTCCAATACCTAAATTTACATTTTTGCGCCCCCCATTCTTCCTGGCTTTTTGCATCCTTGCTGCCTTTAGCTTAGGAATATTATGAGTGCCTGATCATAAAGGCTCTGAAGACTAGAGGCACTGTTTCCTCCACTCTTACAGAGTCAAGGTGTCGGGGGAACTCCCCAGGACAAGTAATAGCTTCATAAGGAAACCCATAACTTACCCCATTCCTGGGTCAGAAGGAACTTTATTAGCTCGACTGGGAACTTGACTGGAACTTGAACTTTATTAGCTTGACACACATAAGGGTTTATCACCCAGTGTTTTGAGTACCCTCACGTTTCCAAGAGCATTCAGGAAGCCCTGAGACTCAGTGTAAGAGGACAGTCTCAGTGTGAAAGCTGAGAAAATCCATCCCCAAAAGCAGCACATAAACAACATCCAAAACTCATACTCCCCAGTTAGCTATAGAAAGGCTGAAATTTTTTCAAGAGAAAAGAACTAAATTAGTTAATAAAATGGAAAACAAGTTTTCCAAAAAGGAGGAAGTATTTGAAGATAATCTGCCACCTAATTAATACCTTAGCTGGCTTTATGTATGACAATTATGAGCTTTCAACTTGCAAGTATTTAGAAAAATGGGGAGATCTAACCAAAGATAACTTAGTCCATCAGTGGGGAATAGTTAATATTACAAAATTAGGATTTTTTTTTTTTTTTTGAATGCTTAACTAAAAATCCTAGGCAATAACATTTGAAACCATCACCTGGGCAGTCTGCTTTAATTAAAATGTGAGAATATCTTTAAAAAAAACACTCACAATTATAAAATTGACAATTTACATAAATGAGCACTAAGAAAAATAACATGAATAATGTGAATAAAGAAAAATATTAAAACTAAAATTAACTTAAAATTTTTAGAGGTTGAATCAGAACTATAGAGAAATTCTAAGACTAGTCTTATCTCATCTTTCTCTGACCTTGGCTTAGTTCTCTATCTCTTAGCACCAAGCTCTATGCAAATAGATTATGGCTTGCTCTAAGAAAGACTACTTCTTCTAGGTAGCTTGAATATGCCTCACTTTCTCTTCCTCTGAGCAACTTGTTTGTCCTTAACTATCCTGTCTAAGTCTACATTAAAATTGTCTTTATTGTACTAGTGATTCCTAAAATTCCCTTCAGCAATTAAAGTCAGGAATGCTTGTTTGGCTTAAGTAAAGTTCTCTATGGCTTACAACTCCTCAGGTTCCTAATGATGACCAGTGACAGCTATGTCTCAGTCAGTCCTGAAGTAGGTGGACCCTCCTGGTAAGATTCATCTTGAAACATTAGTGAGTTTCTCATCTGTCACCTGTATAATCTACCCTGCTAAGCACTTTGGGCTCCTTTGCTTCTATTTCTCTAGAAAAAAAAAAAAAATTAAAAATCCTATAGACTCATCCATAGTTTGCTACCTGAGTCAGATACAACAACATGTAGTTTTCTTCTGGGTTACATGAAAAGAGCTGATCCCTAAAAAGGCCTAAACCAGTCTCTTGCCTCTGAGAGAACAGCTTGAGATGACTACAACATGTTATTCTTAACCTAAAGTCTTAATGTTTCCTGTACTGTCAGTGCTATAGTCTCTGATTTATGTTATGCTAATAGTTTAGACAAAGGGAACTGTACTGGTTTCTCATATAAATGCATCCCCCCATCAGAGACATTAAATGTTAGTCTTCTCTTTCAAAACCTGCAAAACTTAGAACTTGGTTTAAGACAAGAAATTCTAATCTTTTAATCCCAGCACACCTTGTACCACACCTGAAGCATTCCTGAACCTGATGGCCTGGAGCAACTGAGTTCTTTAAAATTCCTCTCTGGGCAGAATCTTTTAAACTGGATCTGACTGACCATGCAATGCACCCTCACCCTTATGCAGAAGTAAAACCTACTTTGCCAAGTTACTATTGCTTTCTCCATGTGCTTTTTGAGGTATTGATAGGGTTCTTAGATAATGAGTTTTCGTTATAATACCCTTCAGTTATTTAGCTTTTAAAAAGAGAAAGAAATATTACCTTAAGTCTACACTGCAAACTTCACCCTTTCTTTTAGGCCACTTAGCCAATTTTTTTTTGACATATTAAAGAGCTAAAGATATAAGCATTCTACCTTGTCTCGCGCCTTGGTACATCTGGATTTCACATAATTGTGTTATATGTATGATAATTGTTTTCATGTGTTGTTTCTGTGAAGACAATGTTTTAACTGGCCAATTCAGTTTTTTTTTTCCTTCCTCTTTATTTTTATTGTGCACAAGAATTATTTTTATTATTATTATTTTATTTTGGCATGCAAAATTAAAATGCACATGTGCAGATTTATAAATGTATTTTGCTAATATATTAAAAAGTCTGATACTTTAGAGTACTTGAGTACTCTAAACATCTACAAAAAAAACTATTAATGTCTTTGGGTCTATTAAGTGTTAATTCTTTAAATGTTAATTGTTTATAATACATGGCATTCACTAAAATTACAATATAAATATTTCAGTAAGCTACAAAATCTAACATTATATACATAGATTTTGATTAGGATTTCCTTCCCCAACAGGTTCTAAATATATAGTTATAGATAATTTCAATTGTGTAATAGAGGTAGCAATAATTTCTCCTTCAAAAATATTTCTTAATATGAAACTACTAAATGTAAGATTTTATAAAAGCTAGATTACATGTAAAATAAATGGATATACATATATATATATACACACACATATATATGTTTTCTAAAGATCTTTTGTGAAGTTTCCTTTTCATAATAAAAATTACAGGGGCTAGAATCTCAGCAAAAATTGATTACAAGATCTTGGTAGCTAAAAATCTTTTTATATATGACTGCATGTGAATGCACTGCTTACATGAACTTATGTTTAAATAGCTTAAATATATATATTTTACTTGGTATTAAATTGGCTTATAAGTAAGCACTCATGTAAACTGATGTTGTTCAATTAGCCCAAATTCTTTTGTCTCACAGTAAAACTAAAATTTTAGGGGGCTTCCACAGCACGTTGGTGGTGAGCTGGAGTCCTCAGTCAAGGATTGCTTTGCTTCTCTTGTAAGTCAGGATCATGTCAATGGCACTGATCAGGAAGAAATTCATGCTGGTGTTGATCAATGTATCCAGAAGTTTTTGGACATTGCAAGACAGACTGAATGTTTTATCCTGCAAAAAACGTTGCAGTTGTCTGTCCAGAAACCAGAGCAAATTATCAAAGAGGATGTCTCAGAACTAAGGAGTGAATTGCAGAAGAAAGATGCCCTGCTTCAGAAGCACTTGACAAAGCTGAGGTATTGGCAGCAGGTGCTGGAGGACGTCAATGTGCAACACAAAAAAACAACCGAAATCCCCCAGGGCTCCCTGGCCTGCCTCAAGCAGGCATCTGCCAATAGCCTCACACCTCTGAAGCAGCCTTAAGAGCAGTCTGGCAAATGAGATAGCCCTGTCTTTTCAAATGCACATGGCATTTCGGAAAAACTCTCCTGGAGAAGGAGTTGATGTCAGTTTTATGTTCCTAGTGGTTTATAACTTTTTTATTTTTGAGATAGGACTTTATTGTGCGGCCCAGGTTGACCTTGAACCCATGATTCCCTGCCTCAACTTTAGTGCCAATTTCCTGACTAGCCTATAAAATGCCTATGGCTTTAATAAGCTAAGGAAGCTTTTTGTCTTTAGCAAAGTTCAGACTGTTAGAGTGGAGACACAGATTCTTACCTGGCTTTGTTTTTGTTTTTGTTTTTCCAATTATTAGATTAGTTTGGTATCACCCAAAGGAACAAATTTTAATAGTTTGAGAAGGCAGGGGGCTATGGAGTTGGATTGTCAGACTTAATAAGCATCCATGGTAGTATAGGCAAATTTGTTACCTTTCAAGACTGATCGACCTAAAGAAGAGGAATCTAATACAGTATCAGTGTCTCGCGTTCAGTAGAGTCAGCATATTTTGCAAGTGGCTTACTAAAGGGTTGAAATACGCTAGATTAGTACAAAAGGTAGTGTTACAGGAGGAGCCCTGTCTTGATGCTGGCCTTTATTTGGGGTGTGCTTTATGGGATGTTTATTTACTATTATGAGGGTGCATGTATCAGGAGCATAGCATGCCTAATGCTGTCAGGCTGTGCAGTGTTAGGTCAACATAAGGAACAGGGTCACAATTCACACCTGAGGCATGATGGGTTAAAACTTGCTTGTTTCTCTGAGTTTGATTTGCTTGTGTATTGCCATTTAAAATTCTCCCTATGGATTATGATCTGTAAGTGTCCCTGTGTAACTTGCTCTGTGGTATGCCTGTGAAATTTAAGCATTGTTCTCCTTGAACATGCAAGGTCTTATTTATTTTTGAATGTGATAATTCTAGTTTGTTTTCTCTCTGTACTTGGTTGTAATGCTGTTTGCCATGTGAACCAATGAGTATCAGCCCAAGGCCAACAAATTCCTTTAATTAGAATGGATAGGTTAAAGAGAGCTTTGAAAAGTTGTTTGGGCTGGGCAGGTGTGGAGGCACACTTGTAATTATAGCACTTGAGAGATGGAGGCAGGAGGATCAGAGTTCAAGGTCATCCTCAACTAAATAGCAAGTTTGAGGCTAGACTAGGCTATAGAGGTCCTGTTTCAAACACCGAACAAAACGAAAACACCTGTTTTATGAAGCTCTTACTGGCAGCTTTAGATTTCATGGCTAAAAACCTAAATAAACTGGTATGTTTTGGTCAATATTTCAATAATAAACATGACAGAAATACTTAAAAAAAAAAAAATTAAAGGAAGAGGTTCCAGTATGCCAACTGAAGATATTAAGTCAATGTGACCGCTTTGGCAAAGCAAGTAGAAGTGACTAATGGTCCTAGATAGTTTAAATCTATATTTTAGCATCAGTTTTTAAGTTTAAATGTTTAAGACACGCTATACTAAAGCCTGGTCAAGATCTTATCTCCTCGATCCTTGTCTCAATTCTGGTTCTATAGCATGCTCTCCTAATATGCTAAACTTTTATTCCAAGGACTATGAAAGATCACTTATCTCTGCTTTAGATGTATTTTGTATGTATGTTTTATATTTATGAATATAAGAATTTTAGGACTTTTGGATAACTACTGCCTCTTTAAAGTCAACCAATGAGTTTGACAAGGTGCATATCTTCACCAAGTGCATGTAAAAACAGTTCTAAACATTTAAAATTGGTCATTTAAAAATACCTGCTTCAAAGTTTACATCCTAAAGCTTAAGACTTCTTAAAGTTAATAACTAATCTTAAAATGTACATTATAATTGTTAAGGTTCAGATAGCCCCACCCCCTCACCAACAGGGCCTCAGGGACCTCACAAGCCCTGAGAAAAGGGAACTGAGTTGATAAGCACCCTGGTCTTTGAAGTCAAGAGAAGCAGACTTTTCTTTTCAGTAGTCTTCCCCTTTGATCTCTAAAGAGGACAGGTTTCAACAGTCCTGCTCTCCTGCTTTCCCCCACCTAACTTTAAAAAAAATTATATATATATCTTCCCGCCTTCTAAGCCTTCCCCTATAAAAGACTCCAACTCATGACTGGGGCAGATATTTTCCCTGCCCGGAAGGGAATCTGTCCCATGTGTTCCTTTGCTAATAAACTCTATTCCACTGGAGTTTTATCTGTGTCCTGGTGCTTTCTCCCGATCAACCGGATTCATCCATCACCTACTTTATCTATCAATAATAATATATTTGAGATAATTGTTCATCTCTGATTTAAAAATTTTAAATTATAGTGCAGTTAAATGTTAATATAATTACTATAATTGTAAACAGATGGCAATAAATAACTAAGTAAACTCAAATGCCAAAATTTTGTCATCTAGATGCCTCAAACCCTAATGAGAAGTGAATGTTTATTTTTTAACAAAAATAATTTCAAAGTGCCTATTACCATGACTTATCTTTAACAAATAATTAGTTTAAATTGGTGAAGAAAAAAAAAAAACTTGCAATATTTTTTACTTGTCTTT